GAGAATGACCCAGGTTTCTTTCCTGTAGGACTTGCCAAGATCTTTTAATATGGTAATAAGCATCTTGGCCATCCAAGAGAGGGGTAGCTTATAGCACTCCACAAACTTTTTTCTTTTTAAAAGCATTCTTATTTTTTTTTTTAAGATCTTACATATTTATTCGTGAGAGACACACAGAGAGAGGCAGAGGGAGAAGCAGGCTCCCTCTGGGGAACCCAATGTAGGACTCGATCCCAGGACCCCAGGATCATGCCCTGAGCCGAAGGCAGACACTCAACCACTTAGCCACCCAGGTGCCCCTCCACAGATTTTTTGGACCATGGGGTTCCTTTTTAAAAAAGTATCTTTAGAGGAGAGGGCTTCATTGCATAGATTTGGAAAAATTAGAGACTAAAGAGTTTGTCTTGGGAATAAGTCTCTGGCAGGGCGCCTGGGTGGCTCAGATGGTTAAGCATCGGCCTCTTGATTTTGGCTCAGGCCATGATCTCAGGGCCCTGGGATCAGGCTCTGCGGTCAGCAGGGAGTCGGCTTCAGAGTCTCTCTCTCCCGCTGCCCTCCCCACCACTCGCATTCTCTCTCTCCCTCAAATAAATACATAAATCGTTAAGAAGTCTCTTGCATTAAAGGTTGGTAGTGAAATGGAAAGAAACAGGAGACTGGAATCTTGGTCCGGGCTCTACTACCAACAGCTCCTCTGGTCACCGAACCTTGTGGGGTCTGTTTCCATGGAGGCTGCGCTAATGCGAGACAAACTGCCAAGCTCCTTCAGCTCTAGAGGCCTATGGTCATGTGCACGTTCAGAAGAACATTGTCGCTGATTTTTCTACCCTGTAATGACACTGGTGGCAGAGACGGTGCTGGGGAAAAGTCGGTGCAGAGGGTCCGTGACAAGATGAGTAAGATGCAGTTTGAACCCTGAGCTGATTATGTGGCGGGGCACGGTGACAGTGCTGGACTCATGTAGTGGAGATAAAACAAGTTTCCAGTTGGTTCTCAGGCTTCTCTGAGTCCGGCCGTGTCCTGTGGTGCACGTGCAAGGCTACGTCGCCAAGGCAGTGCTAATTCCCAGGGGTCACGTAACCATCTAGTTACAGCTTGGCAGCTGTGAAGCCTCAGATACATCAGCCTCCTGGGCCTGGGTTTTCTTCATCTGTGAAATAAGGGATTTGGGGGAGATCGAGGGCTCCTGATGTTCTGGGAGGGGGAACTATTTTTGAGTTGTTCTGGGTCTCACCTGGGGAGGTTGGTCTTCTGCCCCCGCTCAAGGCAGATGGGCCCCACGGGTTGTCTTCCTTGTTCTTCTCTTCCTTATTTCCACATCATTTCGTCTGCCTCAGCCCTCATTTACTCCTTCATTCATTTGATGGTCAAACATTTATCTCTAACACCCAATTCTCTGGAACGCCAGACCCAAATTTCTGCCTCTCTGCCCGATGTGTTTATCTGTTTCCATCTTAAGGAAGCCAGTTCTTTTTTTTTTAGGACGGGGAGGAATGGAGGGAGGGAGGGAGAGAATCCCAAGTAGACCCCGTGCGCAGCGCAGAGCCCAATGTGGGGCTCGATCTCACAATCTTGAGATTATGACCTGAGCCAAAATCAGGGGTTGATGCTTAACTGACTGAACCACCCCCCTTAAGGCAACCAATTCTTTATGTTCAAAACCAAACGCACCATCTCCCCTTACATACCAGTTCCTCTTCCGGTTTGCCCCGGTTTTATGAATAGTGACATGCTCCTGGTCACGTGCAGGTTGGAAACTCAGGCTTCTCTGATCCCTCCCTTCTTCCCTGCTGTAGCCAGCCACTGGTCAACCCTCAATTCTCTCCACATTATTATCTCTTTCTCTTCCCTTCCTGAGGCCATGATTCTAGGCCAGGATCTGGTCAGTCCCTCTGCCCCTTGTCCCCCCTCTAGAGCATCCCTCATGCCAGATTAAGCCTGTAGCCTCCTGAACCTGCCATCTTTCTCTCCCGAGGCCGGCAAAATCCTATTTATATTTCAAGAGGGAGCTAAATGGTGCCTCACTCCTTCAGGCCTTCCCTGAACCCCCCACTGGCTGCATGTCTCCTTCTTTTAGCACCTTATTCTTGTCTATCTTATTTCCCCACCAACCCAAATATGTATATGGTTATAGCTTATATTATGAGATAGGCCTTATACCTTCTTTGAGGCCAAGGGACAAATTTCCTTCACATGTAGCACCTGATACCCACTGGGAGCTAGAAACGTCACTGGATAAATTACTATGACATTATTTACTCATTATTCAAAATAATCATCTATAAATTGAAACAACCTATTCATCTCAATAACTGATATAATCAAATACTAATTAAATAAAACAATAAAATTTGTAATTCCCAAACTAATTAAATCTTGGCTTTGGTGTCCCGCCACTCTTAACTTCTGTGTCTAGTGCGGGGATGATTTTCTGAAGAATCTTGATTTTGATTTTGGTTACAGTATTGGGTTCAGACGATCATTAACTTACAGTTAACGAGGACTTGTCTGTCTTGCGAGACCATCCCTGTGAAGCCGCTGGCCTTGCCCCTTCGCCACAGGAACCTTAGTTTCCTCATCTGTAAATCGAGGTCGTAACACATCCGTCCTGTAATTATTGCAGACGCTGGTTCTACTCCCGAGAATTGTTCAGGAGTAAGTCCTTCATTTCTCATCCTCACCCGAGGGGCTCCTCCAAACCTGGTGGATTTCCTCTAGGTTCTGTGGATCTAAAAGTGCCAGCCACACTGTCCCAGGTGATTTCAGAGGCAGACGGGACAGTCGAGGCAGAATGGCAGGGAGTGTGGGTGCCCATTTTCCTTGCCAGGGAGGAGGACAGCAGACCCATGTCTCTCATTTTTTGAATCAGACAAAGACAAACATCTCACGAAATCCTTTTTGTTTGAAAAAAATTCTCTACCATCTTGTCTTGCCCCAGTCTCTTAGATCTCCAGGCTTCCTAAAAGGCTGCACCCCTGGGTTTCCAGTGAAGAGCCAGCCCAGTCCAGGACCTATCGGTCTCCTGTCTTATTTCTGTTCATAGAAATAGAAGGAGGTTACCAACTGTCAAGCATTGAACACCTACCTACTATGTGGTAGGCACAATCTATAGATAATTAAAATTACTTTTTTTTTTTTAGAAAAGATTTAATTTCTTTGAAAGAGAGAGAGAGAGAAAGAGCATATGAGTGAGCAGGGGGAGGGGAAGAGGGAGAGAGAATCTCAAGCAGACTAGACCGTAAGCAAGGAGCCGATGTGGGGGCGGTGGGGGGGGGACATGACTCGACGTCATGATGCTGACATCATGACCTGAGCCAAAATCAAGTGTCGGATGCTTAACCGAGCCACCCGGACCCCCTGGATAATTAGAAGTGCTCTTAATAACTTCACGAGATAGGTGTCATTGCTTCCATTTTACAAGTGAGTGGAAGCTACGATTGTATGGCTGGTAAATCTCAGAGAGAGGAAGTGAACCCTCATGGTCTGCATCAGTTCTAGCATTTGGAGCCTGCGACGTAACTGGACCAAAGTATCCCCATGAGGGGCGGGTTTCCTGCGGGTAAGGGGTGTTCTGTTTCTGTGTCGGGGAAGTTGTGACCTAACAGGGTTAATCTCCGTTAACTTAGCATCACAGGGAAATAGTTTTCAGAAATGTGTCCAGGGACACTTGGACTATGATCTGGCCTTCTCGCCTCACACTTATGTGACACTGAGGGTAGCAGGTGTGTTTCCAGATAGGCTGATGTTTGTAAACATTCCTGTAAAAATAGGCACAGGGATTGTCAACACGAGTCTTTCTGCACAGTGAGGTAAGCCCCAAGTATAATACTGGGTGACCCCAGTAATATGGCAAAAAATGGGATATTTTCTCAAATTTTGAAGACTTCAGCTGCATGCCTTCTTAGGAAACTAGAAGCTGCAAGCAAGCTGTGCTAATACATGTGACACCTGGTTTTTGCTCCGTGTGGCCACTTCATTCCCATTAAGTCCTGTGTCCTTCACTGAAGAAAGTCGCAAGTCACCGTGGCTGTCCAGCAACCCGCCTGCGTACCGTGGCGCGGTACCGAGCTACGTGTTGTTAGATCCATTTAGTGGAGTACAAGAGGCCTGCAGAGATGACATAGTGGCAAACACTAAAACGCAATGCCCCCCAACACGTGTAATGGAAAACCCCAGGTGAAATATAGAGTGTGCTCATACTTGACTGTTGAAGATTAATTTAAAAAAAAACTCTACATCCCTATATTTACATGTATGTGTAGATAGTTCTAGAAGGCCGCTCAGGTCACTGATCACTGGTGGCATCGAAGAAAGGTGATGACAGTCGGAGGGAGAAGCGGGACCTACTTTGATTGCACAGAACGGTGGGTCCAGGGCCGCCTGGGCAGCCCGGGGAGCTTAGGAGACCCTCTCAGGGGATCCACAAGAATAAGACTATTTTCACGATAATCCTAAAACGCTTTGCTTTTTTTTCCCCCCTCTCATTTTCTCCCACGATTATATGGTGGAGTTTTCGAGAGGTTAAGTGATATGTGATATTGCAACAAATTTAATTCAGAAGCAGGTAGGAGAATCTGTGTTTGATTGAACCAGATACCAAAGAGATTCTTTAAAATGTACGATTCACGCCACTCTTATTATTCTCTAAAAAAATAGGCATTTTTATTTTAAAAAAATCATGACTTAATGTGGACACATAATCATCATAATTAAATAAAAACAATGTTTAAGACATTAAAATGAATAATAAAATCTAAACACTATCATTTCAAATACATAATACATCGAAAATTCCGTTTTAATTTCTAAATCGATGAACATCAGTGGGTGTAACAACTAACCCTCGGAAACAAAATGTCTTTGAGATCTCCTTGGCGCCTGGGACACCTGGGACGGTTCTGTTTGATAGTCGTCAGGTAGGGAAGAAAACTGTGCATGGAGCCCGTATTCACGAAGCTTGTCACGCGGCATTGCTTTCCTTTGTTTCCTCCTCCATGAAGGGATATCTACACGTGGCCTGGAGTTCCGTGCTCTAGAAAGTTCCACGGCTTGTGGCTTAAAGCAGAGGCTGTGCCAGTTGAGGAGACACAGGAGGCAGCTGTCGTCGAGGATCCTGTTCCTCGGAGAATGTTCTGCACCTATGGCTGTAAGTCGGGCCAGCGCTGAAGCTGTCACCCCCTGAGCCGGGGTGGGGGGTGGTGGCAGGAGGGGGTCACCGCCCCCTGCTAGTCTGGCCGCCCTAGAGCCCCTCGCCCACCTGGCCGGTGTCCCAGGGCAGGTCGAGTCCACGGGTTCTGTGCTGAGAGCTGATGTCGCCGGTGAACATGTGTCTGACCGGCCGGGAGGGCCGATGGGCAGCATCAGCGGGCTCCGGGCACTTGCTGCCCTGGACGTGGCTACCCCAGGTTAGGGGCCACTCCGGGGTGTCCTCTCGCTCTGAGCCGCCTGGTTACCCCCACCTTCCCCGTCCCTGCAGAGCCCCCTGGAATCTCGGAGTTCCACACCGGTCTGGATCTCTCCTATGTCATTCATCCATTTATTTTTTTTATGAGTTGCCTCCTTCCAGCAATACTTTGGGGTGGCTTGGAGAGCAACAATAATTCGGAGAACTACTAAAACCAGGGTCCTCATGAGGCTTGGAGGAGTTACACGTATGGGAGGACCGAGCCCGGGGTACTTACTGCACAGAAAATTGCCGAGGGGGGGGGGGGGGGGGGGAACACATTTTTAAAACACCGGGGGGGAATGTTTTTAAACAACAACATGGGGGGGGGGTGTTGAGAAGGAAAAAAAAACAAAAAAAAAAACAAAAAAAAAAAAAAAAAAGAAATAAAAAAAGGGGGGGGGGGGAAAAAAAAAAAAAATTATAAGGGGTAAAAAGGTTTTTTTTTTTTTTTTTTTTTGTTTTTTGTTGTATTTAAGATTTAATATTTTAAAATAATGAGAGATTAAAGAATAAAATATTAGTGAAATTTTTAATAGTAGAAATGTTTGTTATAAATTATAAATATTATTAAATTTGTAATGTTTAAGGTTAGTTATGATATAATGTGTAGGGATAAGTATAAGATTATTTTAAGAGAAGGAAAAAATAAATATAAATGGAAAGATAAATAATATAAAATGTTAAAAATTATTGTATTAAAAAAAGATAGAGTATTTTTAAAGGTTTTTGAGTTAAATTTAAATTAATTTAATCACCTCCTCTATTATTTATTTCACTGCATGCCATGATTAACACATACTTAATTCCATTTTTTAAAAGCATCATACACATTTCCTCCCACTTCTTGCATAAATGCTCACCTTCTTCCTACAGACCGCCTTGAAACTAATTTGTTCCCTCCCCCTGCTTCCAGCACCCCCCCCCCCAGGCTCCTGATGCGGGTCCTCGGGTCCTCGGGCCTCCGCGGTGAGCCGACCCCAGTGAACAGCTCGGGGCTGCACCCCTAACCCTAACCCGGAGTTCTTGGGGGGCTTCTCTGTCACACGAGGTTCCTCAAACGTGATTGGTCTGTGGCTCGAACTGCTCTGCTTTCCAGAGACTGTCCCTGCGGACTTTTCTTCCCCAGCCCGCCAGGCCCAGTGACTGTTTCCAGGAATTAATATTTCAGCCCCGCGGCGGCCGCTCCATGTAGGCCTCGGCTGTGACGCCCGGTCCGGCCGCCTCTGCCCACCTGCACCGACCCCGACACCGACCTCAAGCGCCCCCCCCCGCCCCCCCAGCCCTTCTGGCCTCTTCTGGCGGCCAGGCCAGGCTTCCTCCTGTTTGTGAGAAGGTCCCCACCAAGTATTTCATTCTGTCCGGCGGCTCCTACTAGGAGGACCCAGTAGCCCAGCATCTAAGCGGGAACACTTGGGGGGGGGGCTCATTACTGCCATTAAGGGGTGCTCCGGACCGGGGCTAACCCGCGCCTTCCCCTTCCTCCCGTCCCGGCTCCTGTGGGCCTCCTGCCTGCTCCTCCCGCCCCCTCCCCCTCCCGCTCCCCCCTCCCGCTCCTTCCGCTCCCCCCCTCCCCTCCCCCTCCCCTCCCCCCCTCCCGCTCCTTCCGCTCCCCCTCCCCGCTCCCCCTCCCGCTCCCCCTCCCCCTCCCGCTCCCCCCTCCCGCTCCCCCCTCCCGCTCCCCCTCCCGCTCCCCCCTCCCGCTCCCCCCTCCCGCCCCCTCCTCCCGCCCCCTCCTCCCGCCCCCCTCCCCCCTCCCCCCCCTCCCCCTCCCGCTCCCCCTCCCGCTCCCCCCTCCCGCTCCCCCTCCCGCTCCCCCCTCTCCCCCCTTCTCCCTGTGCGTTCCTCCGTCTGTCTCCCGTCCACTTGTCACTCACGCTGTCTTCCCTCCCCTCTCCCCCAGGACGGCGGTCCCCGTCGCTGGAGCTGGAGCGTAGCTCAACAGAGCATTGCTGCCAGCGTTAGCTTCTCCTTTAAAGGAAAAGTTTGTATTTCCAACTGGAACGTGATTTCCCTTCGTGCGTTAGAAGCCGCCCCCCCCCCCCCCCGTCGCGCGGGCCCGAGGCTGGCTCGTCTGCCGCGTGTCCGGGTGCGCGGCGCTGCCTCGGCGTGTCCCGCGGACGTGCGGGCCTGTCGGGGCATCTGGGGCTGGGACCCGGACAGACGCACCCGGGCCGCACCGCCGCCCTGACCGAGCCTCCGCCGCCTCGAGGGGTCTGCCCGCAGGACGGGGGCGGCCTCGCCATCCGGGGCTCGGGGGGCCCGGCGGGGACGGGGCGGCCTTGGCTGCGAGGATGCTGCGCCGGGGCCGGGGCCAGAGAGCAGCGGGGGCTCCAGGGCCTCGGGCTTGAAGCAGCTCTACTAACAAAAGCAGGAGCTGGTTTTTGTGTTTTAAGGTTTTATTGATTTGTTCCTGGAAGACACACTCGGAGAGAGGCAGAGACCCAGGCAGAGGGAGAAGCGGGCTCCCTGCGGGGAGCCGGACGCGGGACTCGATCCTGAGACCCGGGGGTCCCGCCCTGAGCCGAGGGCCGCCGCCCGACCTCTGAGCGCCCCAGGCCCCCGCGGGAACTGGTTATTGGGCACCTGTGATGGGTGAGGGGCTCCGCAGGGGACCTGAAAGCGAGCAAGATGATCCCAGCCCAAGTGCTCGCGGCAGGCAGGAGGCAGGAACAGGAAGGAACAGAAAGGAGAAGCGAGCTCGGGGTGGGGGGAAGGAGGTGCCCGGAGGTGCTGGGAGGGTGGTGGGTGCTGATGGAAGGGCCGGCCCTGTGTCTGGGTGGTCCTCGACTGCGGCGGGGGTGGGGCTGGGGGTGGGGGTACGGGTGGGTCACCACTGGGCATTCTCGGTGGAGCCAACCTCAGTACCAGGGACACTGAGTGACCAGTGAACAGGACTCCCCTGGACGTGAGGTCGAGGGGAGGGAGCAAATGGCAATCCGGTTGAGGAGTTCTGGAAGAGAGATCTGGAAAGGAGGGCAGCTGCCGGACTGGGGAGAGCGTGGCCTGCTGGCTGGGCGGCCATCTGGGTGCCATCCCAGGGGTTCCGTGCCCTGGGGGTGATGCCTCGGCTGTGGGGGATGCCGGCTTCCCATGCCCCTGCCCAGCGGAGCGTGAGTGCAGGTCCCAGCCAGGTTTAAGGGGGAACGATTCGGGAGCCCAGAGATGCCCATGTGTGCCACACACCCCCCGGCTGCGAGAGCAAGGATCTCACTTCCCCGCTTGCCGTGTTCACTTCCTTAGAATTTCTCAGGTCATATTAGTCACTCTGACCTGAGCTTGTGGCCCCAGGAAGCAGGTTCGGTGTTCCTGCCTGGCAACATTCACCGGATTTCTTTCTGTGCTTGAACCGACTCAAAGCTCCTGCTTCCGGGGATGTGGAGCCCCTGGTTCTTCCTTTTGTGATGGATGGGGTTGGGGGGGGGGCATCCCTTCTAGACACCCATAGCGTTCGCCAGGGTTTCCTCACTGATGTCTCATTGTCTTAGACATCCATATGAACTCTTGTATTCAGTAATATTTTTTAGGTGTGTGAGCTCCCCTCTTGTACCCCCCCCCCAAAAAAAAAAAGATTGTGAGAACCTCTTAGCCAAGGTCTGAGCCTCGGTCAGGTATTTTGGTTTTGTGTTCCATCTAGCACAGTATTACACATGCGTCATCTGTTTTGGGGTAAAGAAAGTGGGTAGGTGGTGGGGGGCTGCTGGAACCCCCCCAGCTCCTGCGGTTCATCCCAGGTCTGGGTTTTGTAGAGGATGCTCCAAAAGAGATCTTTGCTAATGAAAGCATCATCCACTGACAGCGTCAGTGTCACCCAGGAGCTTGTGGGTCTCAGGCCCTCAGAGTCCGTAATTTGCCTGGTGTTTGAGGTGCAGTGGTCTCCACATGTAACGCGTACAAACCCCCTGGGGATCATGTTAGAAGTGCTGTTTCTGGTTTCCTTTGAGGTTACTTAGATAACGTAGAAGACGGAGGCCTCAGACTTTTCTCGTACCAAAGCAGCAACTCCCTTTCTAAGGGTGGCAATGAGCTTCCCTCCCTCCTCCAGCTGACACTCCTGCACAGAACAGACGGTTTATATCAGGGATTGGTGGTCCAAATCCAGCTGCTTGGTTTTGTAAATAAAGTTTTATTAGCACACAGCTCTGCTCATTCATTTACATATTGCCTATGGCTTCTTTTGTGCTACCCAGGCCAAGTTGAATAGTTATGCCAGGGACCTTTTGGCCCACAAAGCCTAAAATATTTACTATTTGGGACCTTGCAGAAAAAAAGAAAAAAAAAGTTTGCCGGTACTGGCTTATGCGATGAACCTAAAATATTTCCTTGAAGTAAAGGAAATAGCTATAATCCTTTGCCCCAGCAGCAAAATTTGCAAGCCCGTCTTAATCCATCACGGAGAAGCTAGGTCATAAAACGTAACTCCCAGGTGGGCAATGAAGCGTCTCGAGCCACAGATCGATCCTAATGGTACCAAGGAGTCTGTGACTTTCCAAGGCCGCTTTCATAACAACCTCCTTAAAGAAATGATTGTAATTTTATTGAGCTGACTCCTTCCTCCACAAATTGATTCCATTAATTGTACAAAGTAAGTTTGGCTTTTCCTCAAGAATGGGGAGGAGCCAAGAGGGAAACAGGAGTGGAAATGTTTGGGACCAAAGAACCGAACAGCCTGGAGGGGGTTGGATAGAACGTCCTGGAACAGT